GTCGTGTGTGTGTGTGTGTGTGTGTGTGTGTTGTGTGTGTGTGTGTGTGTGTGTGTGTGTGTGTGTGTGTGTGTGTGTGTGTATGTGTGTGTGTTAAAGAGAGAGAGTGTGTGTGTCTGCCTGAGTGCGCGCGCGTGTGTAGTGTATGTGTATGTATCTGTTCAAACCATTATAAACCCCTTTATCAAATGCGGGCTGGATTGTTCTTTAAACACAAGTACCATTAAAACATCTGGTGGCTTCGATAAACGCGAATAGTCGCACAGGTATCATCTAATTATAGCATTACCATAAACCTATGAATATAGTGTATCATCAATTATTGTACAATGCGCTGTTCATCGAGTGATTGTCAACGGCTATTTCGCACATTGATTCTTATATATATATATATATCCGACACGATACGATTGCCCAACACGTAGAGCCATCATCGATTCTTATATATCCGACACTATACGATAGCCCAACACGTAGAGCCATCATCGATTCTTATATATCCGACACTATACGATAGCCCAACACGTAGAACCATCATTGATTTGCAATGAACTGACGCCACGTCTCGTGAAGCCCGAACGCAAGTTAAAACTTCGATTAGATGGTGCGCGCGCGCTCTCACACTTTCTCGTGCAGGATACGATGACTGGCGCTCGGCGTGTTGACACCGGCTTGCTGCGCCGCAATCTCTCTCGTGTCGGCGCACGCGGGCAACAGTTCGTTCGACTCAAGTTCTCCGTCCGACTTCGTCACCTCCGCGCTCGATATCAGCTCAAGGCGCTGCTCGGCTTCGGCGCCCTCTGGCGGCCGCAACCGGCGAAAGCTGCCGCTGCTCTCGCTGCCCAGCTCCTGCACGATGCTCAGTTTGGTCGTCGACGCCGACGACATTTTGGCTACGAGAGGCACCGCCGTCGGCTCGCCCTTGAGCGAGCCGGAGCGCTTGCTGCTGCGCAACGCGATCAGCTCGGTGAGGATGGAGCCGTTAGAGGCGTGACGGTTGATGTTCGTCTGGCTGTTGTTGGAGCGCGACGGCACGTTCTGCGAGTACGCGTCGCTCTTATACTTGAGCGCGCGCCGCTGGCACAGCCCGTAGCGGCTCAGCAGAATGAAGAAGTCGCGGTGGAACTGACGCGTCATGATCGCGTATAGGAACGGATTGCAGCACGAGTTTAACGGGTAGAAGAACACGAGCAGAATCTTCGACTCGGAGATGCCGATCAGAGGCAGACTGCCTGCCGCCGTCAGACCGAAGAAGGCGATCGGCGCCCAGCAGGCGAAGTCAGTGAACACAAGCAGCGCCATGCGCTTGGCGACTGTCGCGTCTCCGCTGTTGGCGTTGCCGTCGTGACCGCGTATCGAGCAGTACATCTTCAGGTAGCAGTAGCAGATGACGGCGAAGGCGATCATCGTGATGACGAGCAGCGCGAGCACGTAGCCGAGGTCGACGTACGACGACACCTTCATTGGCAGGCAGATGCTCGTGCGGCTGTAGTCGCTGACGCCGGCCAGCGGCAGCGCTGCCATGACGACGGAGAAGCCCCAGCCGACAACCATCACCTTGCGCGCGAGGCCGATCTTCAGCCGCTTGTTGAGGTGCAGCGCGTACGTGATGGCGCACCAGCGCTCGAGCGTGATGATCGTCAGCGTGAAAATCGACAGCTGGCTTGCGAAGACGGTGAGAAAGCCGGCCACCTGGCAGCCGCCCTCCAGCTGCCACAAGATGGCGTGGTTGAAGTACTCGCCGAGCGTGTGCGAGTCGACGGCGGCCAGCATCAGCAGGTAGAGGCCCATGCAGAAGTCGGCGAACGCGAGGTTACACATGAGAAACTTCGACACGGATATCTTGAAGCGGCTGCTCAGCAGCACGACGATGACGGTGAGGTTGCCTAGCAACGCGGTGATGCTCACCACCCAGACTGTGACGCGCAGCAAGTCGGGACCCATCACGTCCTCGCACGGGTTGAAGGCGTCTGCCTCTGGGATGCACTTAGCGATGCGGTTGACACGCGGTCGCTCGCTGATGTTCTGACAGACGACATCGATGGACCTAGACGCGACGGTGCTGCCGCTCCACAACCCATCTTGACCGCCTGTTTGAAATATAGGAGAGCTTTCTTATCGTACGATCAGGAGTAAGATAATATAGCTCCTATATTATCTTACTCCTGGTACGATGAATACCACTTGCGATGTTTAACCCGACTAATATTTGTTTAAATTAACTTATGGACGCATAGAGCATATAACCGTCATATTAAATTATTATTTTTATTATTGATATTATTATTATTATTATTATTATTATTATTATTATTATTATTAACAGCATAGCGCCTATATTATGTTTGACGTTCTCACACGGCATCTAAGACTGGTTGGACGTATAAGAACTATTGCTATTGCATATTGATTGTTTTTCACTAGAAGCTGCTCCCTACCCACCCCTCCCATGCCCGGGGGCTGTGGTCCTACAGCAGCAGTCCTGTTTCGTAATGAATCGTGATGATTATGATATTCATGAAAATTATCTTGGGAATGTAAGGTCATTATAGGCAAGCAAAAAATGATTTTTTTATAATAATAATTAAGCCACATTAACTCAGTTGTCGATTGCCGATGAGGAGGAATGTACTGATTCATTCTATTAGTGAATTACTTACTCTCTCGACACGGTCGTGAAGTTGTACCGTTGCTATGGAAATTTCCAAAGCCTCTTGGACCGCCAATTCCATCGAAGGATCGTTTCGCGCGATTGTAATCGCCTGTTGTAACGACAGATGGCGCAGTGGTCGTAGACGTTGTCGAGAAACACAGACGCTCCTGTTGCTCGATCAGCTTTTCCAATTGCCGCTTGTATTCTTGCGGATTTGCCTAAACGAATTATTTAACAACGTTCGGAAATTCCATGGCGTAATGAGGCTTACTGCATTAGCTACATTAACGTATATAGAGCGCTCTAATTAGCTTCTTATTAGGTTTATATTTCGTAGTGACATTATTGCCTAAATTGCCATCATTGAGAAATACAAGCATGGAGAACCGCGCATGCCGGGCTTTTCCTTATAAAACTGGCTAATGACCACCACATTGTATTTTAAACGAGATAAAAAGTGTTTATCTAATTAGGAGTTTTTTTAATATATTTTCTGTCGAGGGTACTCATTTTCTTAAAACAGACTCAATACAACTCAACAAACTCACCACAATTTTTTTCTTTGTACTTTTTTTTTGGCAAGAACTTGAATTATTCATTTAAGCAGATATTTAATTAAATACAAGATTAACACTCTATCTAACCCCGAAATATTTCTGAGTCATTGCTTTACGACGTGGTAACCACGAGATAGCAATTTACAGTGGCAATTCAAACCCTGCATCAACGAATCGATGGATTTTTAGAAAGAAATAATTTGGTTAGTGTAATTCGCGCGTGGCTACCTCTGAGCGGATACTTTCCCATTTGGGTTACCTTGTGCGGATTCTCAAAGGCGCAGCAGTGGTATGGGTACGTCAGCTTCGCCGACTTAATCCTTTCGAAGTTGACAACTGCCGGCAAAGTCTTTAAGGTCGGCACGTTCTCCAGTTCGAGCTCGGAGATCTGGCTGAGTCCCTCTATAGGCAACGTTGTCAGCCGAGTTCCTGACAGGTGT